TGTCCGAACTTTTCATCTACAGTATTAGCTATATACTCACTGGGTGTATATATATCTGTGTGGTATAACGAGTAGTTAAATATGAAGGAAAAGGAAATGGATGAAGCCAGTGAGAGGCTGCGTGGTTATATAGGACTGTAGGAGTATATTAGATGATTCTAGTCCCTTCTTTGACTTAGGCAGCTGTTGCTGTTCAGGTGGGCTTCAGGAGAGAGATGAACGTGACTTGGGAATTTCTTACAGTTTCTTGTGCAATTTTGGTGGGTCTAGGCAGTTCAAAATTATTGACTATTTTTGTCAGCTTGAATACCATTCCATCCTGGAGATCTCCTGCTGGCTGTTTGCAAAATACATTCCCAAAAGAAACACTTCTTAATGTCTAAACGCTCATATGCTTGTTGTTTTAATACAAGTATGCGAATCAGAAAGAAGTCATGTATTGTAGAAGACAAGTAGTAATCTAGATATGTTGGAAGTACTTAAAAGATGAGCGAAAAGAGAATCAGATATTCAGTTTTCTAAGCTAAGTTTTCTAGCAAATGAGACTTATTTCCAAAATGTTTGTTCTTATTGAAAAAAAAAATAAAACATATCTTTAGAATTATTTCATTGTACCTTCAACAGAAAAATAAATATTTATATAGTTATATTAAATTCAAAACAATGACCATACATTTGCAATTTTGTAAATGAAGACAGAATTTCTTCCTTTCCCTCTTCTTCCATTACATTTCACGTAAAAAGCTTGGATTATTTCAGTGAGTACTAGCAAGGTAAACTTTTAAACTTCTGAGTACTTTTGTGAACAAAGTTCAGCCATTACTGTTTTTTAGAACAGTTTGTGTCTGTCTGAACTGTATTTAAATGTCCCTCATCCTCACTATGAAATTGCGATGAAATAGAAACTGTGAGAGGAGAGCCTTGCTTCCACGCTGGTTCAACCAAAACTGGCAAGAGTTGTTTTGATAACTGTCATTCCTGATGTCAAACTTTGTGTAAAGGAAAACAAACAGGCAAACATACCTCGAGTGATCCATGTTTAGCCTGTGTCCTAAATGCATTCATCCTTACTGATAAAGGAAGGGAGATGTTTTCTCAGGCCTTATCTCTATACAAAGGAGGTTAATAATTTGGAAAAAACAGTTCCACAGAAAGTGCCTCAGATAAGGACTGCATGTAATGTGTGTTTCTGATTGATTGTACTTGAATGTACTTGAGTCACTCTTCTAAAAATGTGTCTTTTTAATAGCTATTGCTGCCTCTTTGTATATTCTGAGTACCCTGGTTTATGGGACTTGCCCTCATGTTGGCCGAGACAGAAAGCATAAATAAATCAAGAAGTCTGGACTTAGATTTTTTTTTTTGGTGGTGGTTCTCCTTTTTTTTTTTTTTTTTATTTGTTATTTTTTAGAAGGCAATTGAAGCTTGATTGATTCCATTTATAGCTTTCCTGTATGAGTGAGCTGCAATCAAGGTTTTCTTTGAAGATGTTTTTCATCCCTTTCTCTCACAAAAGGGGAGGCAATAGTTCAGATTTATGTAGAGATGAACCTGAGAGTGCTTCAGCTGGCACTTTAAAACTAAAGGGATTCTGGATTTTCAGAAGAGAAACTAAAAGAGGCTGGAATCCAGCTCTCTGCATAGACCAACTTAAATTTTGTTAAAACATGTCTTGAGTGAAACATAATGAGACACTGGTGGTTGCTTGTTAAATATTACAAGTGTTATGCTGATTGTTAAATTCTGCTTCTTTGGGAAAAAAGAAAGAGAGAGGGGAAGAGGGAGAGGGGGAGAAGGAGAGATGATCAAGACAAGAGAGAGAAGAAAGAGGAAAAGAAGGAATGGGAGAATGCTTAAAGGGGGAGAGAGCAAGCAAGCGAGAGTGTGAGAAGGGGGGACGGAGAGGAGGAGGAGAAAGAGGGAAGCTGAGAGAGATGGGGAAAAGGAGAAGAGAGGAGGAAAGAGAGAGGCAAGTGAGAAAATGAGCAAGTGCATGGAAGGAGGAGAAAGAGGATGCAAGCAAAAGAGAATGCAGGAGAGAGAAAGAGAGCAAGCAGGAAAGAACAAACAAAAGCAAGAGAGTGAGAACAGGGAGGTCAAGGAGAGGGTGTGTGAGAAAGTAAGAGGGCAAGAGCATGCAAGAAAGAGGGAAGCCAAGAGAGAATGAGAGAATGTGAGAAAGGGAGAGGAAGGAGAGAGTGAGAACGGAAGAAAGCTAGCAAGAAAGAGAAGCAAGCAAGAAGTGGAGAAAAAGTGCATGACTGAGAAAGAAAGTTTTTAGTTTTTCTGCTTGCTTGCTTGTTTCTCACAAGTCTCACAGCTGCTACCTTAAAATTCTGTAACTGACAATCTGGGGTCTTTTTGTCATGTACAAGACACCACTGAGACTTTCATCATCTTATTGTCAATGAGTATCGAAAATTGCAAAACCTGAGCTGTTTGGTAGGCTGAAGTCCTGACATTGAAGTTCGTTGACTCACTTTTTGAGTCAACACTCACTTAGCAATAGTTAAGCCACAACCATTTCAAATAGTTGTTGTCTTGACTTGAAGGCTAATCCAAGGGAAGAAACTATTCAGGGGGAAAAGATGTATTGAGCTCTGAGCAAAACAGGTACCTTTATTGCTTTACTGTTTTCTTTTTTGTTGTTGTTTTTCCTCTTGAAAGAAACAATAGTGGTTTTTTTCAGCTTTAATTAAAGTCTCATGGCTTTTGGCTTTTGCACAGCTTTTGAATAACTTACAAGGAAAGGACTTTATTGGATTTATCAATAAAAATTTCTCAGAGTTCTGTGTTTTAAAAAAAAGACAGGAATATAATAACTTCCGATTGACTGTCAGGTCTATTCTTTAGCTCTAATCTTCTGCAAAAATATTGACAATATAAATCTTTAATATTTTTTTTTCTGCTTTGATATTTAATAATTGGTTTCTGTCATAAGCTCTTACTTCATACTAGTGAGGCACACTTACTGGAAATCACCGTATTGAACAAGATACTATGTGTGAGGATTTTTTTTTATTATTATAGCAGCATCTAGAGGCTTCATCTGAAATTATACTTCCTGTGCTAGACATCGTGAAGACGATGAGAGATAGTAGCTGCCCTAACACACACCCCCTCAAAAAAAAAGTGGGGGGGGAAGAGAAATATAAGGGAATTATTTGCCTCTTGGAATAGTAAGGCATGTCATATGGGTCATCTAGATCTGAGTGCTAATTTAATGCATTAACCAAGATCACTACTACCTGGACAAGCTTGAGAAGTGTGCCCATGTGAACCTAATGAAGTTCAACAAGGTCAAGTGGAAGGTGCTGCACCTGGCCTGGGGCAATCCCAGACATGAGCACAAACTGGGAGAATTCATTCAGAGAAAGACTTGGAGGATCTGGTGGACAAAAAGCTCCACATGATCCAGAAGCGAGCACTTGGAGCCCCAATCGCCAACTGCATCGTGGGCTGCATCAACTGAGGAGTGGCCAGCAGGGCGAGGGAGGGGATTGTCCCCCTCTGCTCTGCCCTTGTGAGGCCCCACTTGGAATGCTGCATCCAGCCCTGAGGTCCCCAGCACAAGGAAAGATGTGGATCTGTTAGAGAGGGTCCAGAGGAGGCCACAAAGGTGATCAGAAGGCTGGAGCACCTCTCCTATGAAGAAAGGCTGAAAGAGCTGGGGATGTTCTGCTTGAAGAGAAGAAGGCTCCAGGGAGACCTCATTGCAGTATTTCAGTGCTTAAGGAGGACTTATAAAAAAGATGGAGAGCAACTTTTTACTCAGACAGAGAAGGATAGTACAAGGAGTAATGGCTTTAAACTAAAAGAGGGTAAATTCAGATTATATGTTAGGAGGAAATTCTTCACTTAGAGGGTGGTGAGGCACTGGCACAGACTGCCCAAAGAAACTGTGGATGCCCCATCCCTGGAGGTGCTCAAGGCTGGGCTGGATGGAGCTTTGGGCAGCCTGGTCTGGTGGGAGGTGTCCCTGCCCATGGCAGGGGTATGGAACTGGGTTGGTTTTAATGTCCCTTCCAACCAAAGCTGTTCTGTGATTCAGGCTGGTGTGATAATAGCCTTTTGGAAGACTGGAAAAGCCCAAAGTAAAAGAGAAGCTTTTTCATGGTGCATATAGACAGAGAGAAGTAAGATCATGGAGACAACAAGACTTTCTCTTTTAAGAAACACAGAGACTTTTTGGAGAAGCACGTTTCCTTGTCAAGGACACAATGCTGAAAGCTGCTTCAGCTGCAGTCTTTCAGGCAGGTTTTTGTCTGGTTTACTGTTCCCTAAGTGCAGGGACTTGCAGGGTTGCTATCCCATATACAGGACTCTTCTGTGAATTTTTCATTGTGGTCAGGATTATTACCCATCACCATCCACATTCTAGGTCTCTGCCCAACAAACTCAAGAGTGCAGTTATGACTGGAGTGTGTTCTCCAGTGTGGAAGTTGCAGTTGCTATCCAAAAATAGATGCAAAATAAAAATAGGGCAAGACAGCATGGAAATGAAATATTAAATGAATCAGACACTACATGAACTAAAAGCATGTGTCTTTCCATGGGCATCTTTGTTTCCTAAGTTAGTTATAGGTAAATAGTTGTACAATTATAGGTAAAGGAGAACAAGTAGCTGTATAGCAACTATAGTAGCTATAGATCAACTCACTAAAACCTCATTCTTCACAGTCAGACGACTTTTTCTTAATATAAGACTGGAATGGCATGCAAGAAAAATACAGATACTGAGGTTTCACACTGTAGAGTTAACTGATAGGTCATTGTGACATCCTCAAGCGAACAGACAGGATTTTGGATTTTTCTTTTTGGTAATCATGTATATGGATTTTATTTGTGGTTGGGATAATGAAAGGAAGTACTTCCCCAAATTTTCATTTACATAATCACAAAGAAAGAAAAACAGAAACTTAGTCATTTTATGTGGACAGAATCCTTGTTGTTCAATCAGATATAATAATTGTTCTAATTCTGAAATTAAATTACCGTACCTGGATTTGGTTTTCCAGTTTTATACTGCCTTGAATTGAAGAACCTGAAATAATAAACATTAAGCAACAGTAAGAATTTATGTTCATGTTTTGTAGGTTAACAGAGATTAGGCAGTAATGTTAAGAATAGCTGTGCTAGATCCTCAGCTACTGTCGGATGTATTCAACAGGGCTACCCCTATTTTGTTGACAGAGAGTTTGGCTGAAAATCCTCAAAAATTCATGCCACTAAAAAATTTCCTATTCTGGTGTTTATACTGATTTTGATTTCACTTGCTTGCTGCTTGTACAAGTTTACTTGGACCATAGTTCACCTTTAGCAAACATTTCACAAATCAATAAGTTAATTGATGACATTCACACATTTCCTGGAAAGCAGCTGCTTTTTACAATATCTAACAAATTTGCCACAGTCCTGATTATCGATGAATAATATGGATTAACAGTATTTAAACTAGGACAAGCAATAAGAGCGAAAAGCTCTAAGGCAGCTTAGAGTTTTACCTAATTAACATCAATTTAGTGTTAAATTTTCATTCAGTTCTTGTATTTAGCAAAAATGTATGTTCCAATTTTCAGCGGGTGACGCCTTTTTTTTTTTTTTTTTTTTAATCTGATTTAACGATTTTAGGGTATACAAGATGCAATTAAAGATCTACAGAGCAGTAATTAACTTTTAACAAATCAATGAAAAATACAGCATAAATAGAAAATGGAGTATATAAATCACAGGCTGATAAAGATCCATTAGATCATTTCAAATGTCTTTTAAAATTTACACAGAAAAAGGCTTACTCTTGAATTATTGGTGTAAGTTGAGTGCCAAGATCTTCACAGTGAAACCACTTTTCAAATAGGACATTAGTTGATTCTTCAACATAATATCTGACAAAGTAAAAACATTATTCATTTTTTTTTATTAACTAACAGATCATGCATTCTTTTTGATAAAATATCTACTTGATGTGTGTAAGTGTGTATTATTCTCAAGCATGGTGTATTTTATTCTGAAGTGTGGTTATTTAGGGAAGCTTTATTTTTCCCTGATTAGCTGACTGGTGAGGTGCTTAAATTTCTGTCAAGGGCCTAGTAGTTCTGCTGATCAACTTTTGCATAAGTTACCAAATTCCTTTCACAAACTTTCTAGATTTAATCCTAGAAATTGTTTTGTGCCATAACTCTTTGGGACCAATAAACCCCACTTTGGGTATAGTTTCTACAAAAACACCTGTCCCCAGATACAGTTTCCAGTAACTGCTTCCAAGCAGCTGTTAGATAAATGTTCATTTCTAAGAGAGTCCTCTTGCTTATTGCTCATGCATGGGCAGATAAGAATACAAGACAGATTATGGATTTGTTTGAAAAAATTTGGCTGCATAAATTTGGAGAGTGTTGTTTAGCTTGTCAATCTGCAAAGTCACTTTGTGTTTTACTTGCATTATGTTGTCTTAATGAATAAATAAATTGTGCTGAGATCAACAGGACAAAGTAGCTGTTGTCTCTGGGATGACAAAAATAGAAGTTACCTACAGGTTAAAAAAGAACAACTACATGGCAATGGAGAGATATTCCAGTACAGTCACTCATAATGACAAGTGATTGTAAATAGGACCTGTGTCCTTTGGGTTAAAATGACTGGAATTCAGGTTTAAAGGGGTAAACAAGGCTTATATAATTATACTTGACATGTATGTGTATTTGTGTATTCATGTTTGTCTTATATATCCATATTAGTATTGTCCAGAAACTTTCTAAGAGCTCTGCACTTCTTCCAGTTTTGGAAAAAGAGGGTACTGGGAAGAGGGTAACATTATTAATGCCTACAACATAAGAAAAGCTGTGCTGTGAACACAAATGTTGGTTACCTGAGAATCCACATAGAAGGGAAATGTTACAAATGCCTCTGTTGGGAAAAGGCTTTGGAAGGAATATGCACCTTGCTAGGCATTAAAGAAAGAATACAATCTAAAAACTAAAATCGAACTTAGTTGGCTTAGTTTGCCATAGGATTAAGTTTTGCTAGTGCACTTTTATTATAATACAAAGCATGTAATTGTTACTTAGGTTGAAACACTGAAGCAGGCTCTTTTTATTTCACTTGCACAATAATCAGCATGCTGGTGGCTCTGATTTATGACTGAAGCTTGTAGGCATGGTAAATAATGTAATGGTAATATAACATTAGACCTTGAGTCTGCATACTTCAAGGCAATCTTTGCTGCAGGTGGGTGGAAGTGAGAAGCTTGACAAGAACAGAAGTTCTAGTTGTAAATCCCATCTCCCAGGAACATGCATAGAGCCAGTGTTGCTTCAAAAGTACAACATGATTGTTCACTTCCCAAACTTCAGGCATCTTTGTTTGTGTCAGTGTGAAACCCTGGCCACTAAACACCTCTAAGTGATTTATTTTCAGGTATTTGATTAGATATTTTTAATTAAGAGTGTGTTTTGTTAATCCAATTATTTTTTCCACCTGCAAACCATATGGTAGCTTCTGATTAGTTTAAATTCTCACCCAAAGCATGACTATGTCAAAGTGCAAATCCCTATATCTACCTGGGGTTCCTTGTAAAGCCATTCAGTATCTTTGTAACTCATGGCATCTACAAGCTTCGTGTATAAGGTAGGTTATTCTATCTGAAGTTACCTACAGCTACTTATGTTCTTTTATTACAAGTGAACATCATTTTCTGAATCACTAGCCAATCGTTTCTAACTCAGAATATCATTTTAATAATGCTAGTGCTCAGGATTTATGGACCTGCTATGAAAATAAAATTATTTTTAAAAAGTGCATAGATAAACACTGCTTCATGTTAAGTGGATTTGTCTTCAGCTTCAAATCCATTCAGGTGACTTTCTGAATTATCCTCCTCTTAATTTCCTATTTTTTTCTCTAGAGTTTTTTGAACAGCGTGTGTTTGTGTATATATATATATTTCTAGCTCATACATTCAAAATTCCCCTTATTCGATATGGCCCATGCAACAATCAAAACTACAGACAAAAGGATAAAAACAGTACATTACAGATATTACTGCAATTTTAAATCTTTATAAACAATGTGAGTAGCTGTGAAATCACTTTGGTCAGCTGTATCCAGTTAAAACCAAACCAGCTTTTCTAACTTGGCTATCACTGCTGTGACTTGCCTTCTTAGACTTATGAATTCTGCAAGGCTACAGAACAAGGCTCAGTCTTGCTCCCACTAGAATAGAAAATAAATCTCTCATTTATTTGCCTTATGAGAACAATGTCTTCAATAAAACCTAGGCAGAGGTGTTTACAATGTAGGGGGGATAGCGTTAAGAAAATTGTCTTTTGTTTCTAGCTACCCACACACTTGCCAGGAAAGCTCTTCTTTATCTTTTTGTTTTCAGTGCCTACCAAGGAATTAATGTTCTACTTGCCAGAACTGATATGAAAATCTCTTTTGATTTGTGCTGTTACAAAACTCTGAGATTTTAAACTTAAGGTGATATTCATAGGTGATCTATAAGTTGATAGCTCTAACCACAGGACATGTTGTGAAAACATTTCAATGTGTTCCTTGCTAGACTAAACTAAATGCTAAATGAGATCTCTGTTTGTGTGTAGATAAATGCATGTGTGGACAAAACTAGTAAAAAAAAAAAAAATTGTCAGGGTGGATCTATTGAATTACTGCAAATGTATAATACAGTATTGTATTGACATGAGAGATTAATTCCATATTATGAATCCTAACAGAATAGCCAACAGTTATACTTCACCTGAGCCCATCAATTTCTGTCTTTAATCTTTCCCTCTCGATCACGAGACCCACGGTGTCTGTGTATCTCTGAGGAGAATGAGGTATCCTAGCAGGTAGGAGAAACATCTGTTCAGACAAAGAAATGGGAAAGCATCAGTGGTGGGAGGATTTTTGTTTTGCATATCATCCTTCTCCTGTCGCCAGCCTGCAAAGTCCTCTGTTCACTGTCCCCACATTCCCCCTGCTCCTTGTTGATCTCTGCTGCTCCCTTGCAGCTGCATTCAATTTGGTACCAACAGTCAAGCAGATGCTGCATTTTGCTTTCTCAATGAATGATGACCATTGATTCAGTGATCAGCATTGCCTTTACTGCAATCCTCCCAGATTGATCATCATCGCTAGACACACATAAAATGAAAATCTAACCAGTTACTCTATCTGGAATCTACATGTATAAATTTACTGCAATTTCTCAGTAGCAGAAATGGAAATAAAAAGTGAGTTCGTTGTCAGCTCAAGAAGATTTCTAATGTAATCATCCATGTGTGTCCCTCCAACACAGTGAGACCTGTGATTGTGTGATGAGGAGAATTCTCCAGAATTAACAAATATAAGGAACTGTGACAGAGAATGGGCAACATTTGGTTGGGAGAAGCCTATTACTGAAGCCTGAAAATAAATTTTCTTCTAGCAGCTATTTGACTATGTAGGAAGGTGGTGGTAAGCGTGTGCTGTTTTGGAGTGTTACAGATTTCATAGCTGAGTTTGGGCGTGTCATTGCAACTTCTCTGTCTGCAGGACAGAGCGAATGATAGTGCCTTAGTAGGACTGGTGCTGGTCTTCCCTCTGTGGACATCTTGTGTTCCTTTTCATTAATGCTCTGGTATGTGCCCAGATCTCAGGTGTAGAATCTATTACCAGACTGTCCCCATCTACAGGTTTGAAAGTTTAGATCTGTTTCTTAATTGAAAAGGTCACAATGCTTCTTCTAGTGACTAAGCTGTTGGGTCTAATACATGTCCTTCCCTTTAAAGACTGACCCCACTAGATCTAATATTTGATCCTCTCAAAGACTGAGAGCAGTTCAAGCTTTTGACAATGATAATGAGCAGCAGTAGTGGCACATCTATTAACTTGTAGTAACAGCAAGTAAAACACCTAGTCACAAGCTCATTAACAGCATCGAAATCTGTGCTTTAGTAAATCTGCTACTACATGGAAAAACATCTGAATGACGGTGGATACATTTTGTCCATAAATTGCTCTTTAAAAACTGTTCTGGTATTATGATGGTTGTGAAAACTAGCTGTGACAACTAAAGAAGGCTGAAAATAGCTGAATTTCTTAACTTCTAACATTCTAAGCAGTTTATTTAATGTGGTGTTTGGGTGGGTGGGCAGTATTTACCTGACAGTGTGTAAGTAAGACTGATTCACTTGAATTCATGTGGCTGATTCTATGCCATGAAGGGGAGTAAGAACTCCTTTCAGTATTTTCTTGGCTGTCTGAATGGATATCCCAAGAACCCGCAGATTTTTATCTCTTACTGAAATTGTGAAATGTTGGACAGAGTATTGTCGTTTGCTGTTAATTACATAGAATTTGTTACAGTGCATTCAAGCACTTATTTTTTTTTTTTTTTTTTATAATCCTGATGCCATTTCTTACACAGCAGCGATAAATTAATCTTGATATACTTCATAAAATATTAATTTAGCACACATACGTACAACAATAACAGAAAAACAATGGTGTTTTACCTCCCCTTCGCGGATGAAAATGTCTTTTTGCTTCCCATTTTCAATTATCTTTAAACACATGTCTCCTTTCACTTGGTAAAAGAGCTGAAGGAATGGGAAAATAACAATAGGTCAACTGCTCCAAAACATTCTGTACTTCATATTCAGTTTTTAAAGAATATATGCACAAAAACATTCAATCTGTTTGCAAATACTTACAGCTTTTTTCTAACAATACGTAATAGACTTCCAACCTTCATTGCTTTTTAAAATTTTATGAAATATGTATTATTGCCATTATCTGCATACATATGACAGGCTGTACGAGAGATCTGTAATTGCTTGAAGAGCTCTTCCACAAACACATTGGAACCCTGCTCTATTGTCTTTAATCCTGGGGATTACACTTTGTAGGGCCAGGACTTTATGGTTGAGACATCTGTTAATTGTACTGCATATAAGGCTTCATTTCCGTTGTTTTTCAGCTCAGATGTATCAGGGTCTTCACTGTTCCATTCAGTCAGATTAAATGCCCCCTTTCCAAAAATGCTTCAGATATGTGAAGCTTTTTTTTTATTATTATTTTTTTTAATTTTAACAGAGCTTTTTCAAGTAGGAATAATTGCCCATTTAGAAGCTGTTCTGCTTTATTTCTGTGGTCACTCTGAAGCCCTGCAACAGCTGCTCCTCATCCTACTGTGTGTGTAAAAGGATTATATTCTAAGCTTACATAAGGACAGGGCTACTGAACCTGTAATTCTGCCTTCAGTGACCTTTCCACGGTTCTGATTTCAGAGTAGCTTTGTGAGGGCTCAGAGGTGTTCAGACCTGGCCTCGTGCTTCGTGGAAGAGCTGTGCTATGATCTGTAAGCAGGTCTGTCGTTGACCTGGAATAATGGGCACATTTTTACTCGTACCGTATAATGATGGGCAATAATACTTCAAAAAGTCAACTTTACCTTTCTCATTCTGCCTCTCTGCCCAATTTCTATATACTCTTCATATTCTGTCTGCCATAACTAGAAACCAAGCAGACTAATACATATAGTTGCTGAAATTCAGGTTAAAATTGCCTGAAATCTGAGTCAAAGTTAGAACTACAGTGGAAATTATTTTATCTGTAGCTATTCACTACAATTTTAACAAAATGGAAATAAAGTGCTCATGAAATATTAATAAGAGAAAAAAGAAACCACCCAAGTATTATGGAAACCCTGAAGCAAACATTTTCCATTAGAAAAGCTTAATCAAATTTTTAATTTATTAATTTTTAATTTATTTTTTTTTTCTGAAACAGTTCTTGATATATGGATTGATATATGTTTCAAAATCCAAGGAACACACTTGTGAACATAATAATAAATACACTACCAGGGGAATGAAACAGTAGAGAGAACTGAAGATGCACTGGAAAAAAGCTCATGCTGAGAGCTCTTACATGAGTGGAAAGCTCACCTTGTGCCAAGGAGATCGCCATGGCTAAATTAAACTCTTGTCTAGATGGCCACATTGCTAGGTTACTTATCCTCATTGTACTCCATTTTCCCATGTTCTTTTCATATCATTTTCTTGTGTGTTACTGAATGACTGTATAAATGCAATATTAGCCCTCATTACAGAGTGTGTCAGGCTCTTTGTACAATATAGTCGTTTGGGTGGAGAAACGATCTCTCCTCCATTTCAAAAAAGACCCATCTTATCTAAGAATATAAGGTTCTGACGGATTATCACACAGGCCATTGGTAATATGGCACAGGCAATGCAGAAATTGAAAGATCCTTTTGGAACTGATGACTTTTGGAGTGGTATCTTCCCTATAGCTACTGAGGGAACTGTTCCTAAATGCTTGCACAGACATGTTGATGATGCAAAGAACAACAGGAGGACAGTTTTGTGCTGCTTATGAGTACAGATTGCATGGATAAGCACCTTTCTGATAATGGAAGGCTGAGGAGAGGAAAGGAGCCTTTCAGCTCAACAGTAGAACAATCCAGACACAAGAAAAGATTCTTCACACAACACTGAGTTTTGAATTAAAATAATTATTTTGTAGTGGGAAAGGAGGAGGGAGGTAGGCTATGCATTGTTCCATCGCCAATAAATGTGTTTTTTGTTTGTTTGTTTGTTTTCCTGTCTGAACTTAAACACTACCTACCATTGTAAATTATGGTCTTTTTTTCTTTTTTTTCTTTTTTTTTTTTTTTTTTGTGAATGTCTGCATGCTTTAGGCTTCCATAAATCGTCTGATGTCACTGTGATGCATTAAAGTGGCAGTAATTACTGAATCTACTGATGTCCTTATATTATACCCTGAAATTTTATTGAGGAAACTGTCAAATGTTTAACATTTCTGTGAGTTATAGTCCATGCCTGTTTCATAGGACAGTTTGCCAATATAGTATTGTACTGTCATTTTACTGGGACTTTTTTTTTTTTCTTCTTCTTTTTTTTGCTCTTTCCTTTTTTTTTTTTTTTTTTTTTTTTTTTTTTTTTTCAGTGCTGACCAAGCTTTGCATTCTGGGCAAATATAAGCTCTTCCTACATACCCCCCCACCCCCACCCCCCACAAAAAAAAAAAGACATGAAGACACATGAGTAATGAAGTAGTGGTGAGTGTGTGGGTGCTTGATTGTGCTTCAAACTGGATAGCATTGTGTCAAACTGAGAGGAAAGGCAGCTGGATCAGTGCTGAATTTCTAACTGGTTTGCACAGGCCAAGTACAACACAAGATGTGCTCTAGGTGATCCTGCTTGGTAGGGGGGTGATGACGATCTTCAGAGGCCTCTTCCAACCTCAGCCATTCTGTGACTCTCTTTTATGCTCAGTAGTTCAGTGTATGGCTTGCTAATTTAGATCCACCTTTGACATCAAACTCTGCCCAGATATAGTAGCCCAGAGCTCTGTGAGTGCTCTTGTGGCTGACAACTTATTCATGGGACTCTAAAGAAATCTGCAGTTCGCACTATACTTTGATCGCTGATTTTGAAAGTGGAATTTAGGATTGCTTAGCCACGTCTGGGATGAGGTTCTGACTTGGCGTATCCTGGTTTGCATTGCACGTCAGATTGTTAAGTACTAAATTAATATGAAGAGCAAATCAAATTCTGATGTGGGAGTAAAGTCTGGGTGTTCTCCAGACTTCAGCAGTGACTGATCTACATGAGCACAGAAAAACAATTTTCTCCCTTACTCATCACAAGGCTTTTCAGCCATCAGAAGTCTGGAAGGCAGAGCAAACTGTTTGTTTTTTTTTCTCTGCTCATTTACATGTCACCTGTGAAACATGAATACTAGCCAAGACTCATCCTAACAATTTTATGCAGTAAACATATTTCTGAAGACACAATCTCTTTCTGATGCAAAGGGATCATCACTCTTATTGCTTTCTAATATGAGCTTTGTTTCTTATTAAAATATTCAGAGTTTTCATCAGATAAATGTGTTTTTAAAATATAAGGAGCAAAAAGATCTTGCTTGTTCTGCTGAGACTCATGTTCTCAGTTTAACTCGGGAGATAAGCACTGCAATACCACCTACTGGAACGATCGTCCTAGCCACTTTCCTCTCTCCTTAGGCATCCAGTATCCCCATACAATCTAAAGGGAGAATGAAGTTGCTAGGGGAGTTTCTCCAAAGCATGCTGCCTGGAGAGCAGCATAAGCTAGAAGAAGGGGTCAGGCTTCATTTAAGCAGATTTGTCGGAAACTGGAGCCAAATCCTACTTGTGGTGTGTATGTGAGGGGGAGAAAAAGAGAAATTGAAGCTCAGGCTAGGAAATGCAGACGAGCTGTGACAGATATGACTTGAAATCTTTATCGCTTTTCAGAGCACAACAACTGTATCCCAAACAGAAAGTGTAAATATGCTATACGAAGCTGAAGGGATTGGCCAAGCTGATCAGAGGAGAGAGGGTTTCTGTTCTGAAAATCCTCTGCAGGAGTGCAGTGTTAGGACTCTGACCTGGGGCTGCATCAGTTTGTAGCTGGCTGCATACATGGGAAACAACCTAGATGCCAAGAGCAGAAACTTCAGGCACTCATGCCACAATGAAAAGCAGGGCTTTTAACACCAAGTGCAGTATTGTGCCAATGCAAATGTGTTGCAGGTGGTAGATGAAAGGCTGATTTGAATTTCGCTGCATGGAACTGCGCTGTTATATGTAGACTCAACATCAGGTGTGAGGAGAATATGAATTGTTATGAAATTAAAGGCAGCTATTGGAGATTTGTTACGTTTAAGTGGTGGACTGAAATGGGTAAAGAGATGGGAGCCTAACTACTTTTCTGATCCTAGATTTAGCATATCTCACCTTCCCCCAAAGCAGCCCACACTGTGCAATAAATAAAATCTGAAACTGATTTTACTATAGTTAAGCTTTGTTATGATCATGGTTTTTATGTGTCATTAATGTCCTTTGAAGCAAACAGTTCCCTTCAGCTTTCACTTATCATATAACTTCGCAGAAATAAGGTGAATAAGATAAAAGAATAGCTTTTCCCCTACTCAGGCTTTGCAAGTAAGCAAAAATGCAGTAAATACACCGTGAATTTTGTGAGCTGTGTGAACAACTTAACTCTTCACGTCACAAATGCTATTGTATGATGAAAAGTTAAAGAAACCAAGTTATGTCTGGGATCTGAAAAACAGCTATGACCCTCAGCCATAAGGCACTGAGCATTGTCAGGACTGCCACACAATCCTTCTATACAAGCTTTTCATCAGTACTTCATGAAGGGTTTGTATAAAAAATTACAAAACTAGATATGTATATATAGCACAATCTATTTAGTGCATATTAAGAAAGTTTTGTCTGTGTAGCAATACAAATGTTTTCTCACAGCATTTTGCTGTTTTAACAGAAGATGTATGTCCTAAAGCAAATACAGGAAAAAGAATGACTATGACATAGTGATAAATTCAAGCCAAAGAATGCAAATAGCTTATCTCTTGTAAGGTGCAGCTTAATTTTGCCATTTATAAAATCTGTCTGATAGAAAACAATGTCCTGGGTTTGAGACAGTACTTTTCTGCAGAAGGCTGGCAAATAAGTAGTGTGTGGAAAATTAGGAAGGAGCAAGGTATCAAGCTACATATTTAGGAACCCCCTGCTAAGCAGGAAAAAAAATTGTGAAACTGGGCACTGTTTTAGTCTCCATGGATGTAGATTCCAAATCAAATCTCCAGACCTTCTCATAATTAGCCATCAGAACAGATTTTCCTGATACAGCTGCACACTAAAGGTGCCAGCAGGGAACAGTTTAGGACGAGGAGGATGCTCCTAAACCCTCATCTCTGCGTGTGAGCTGCTTCCTGCTGTGAACTATGGGCTGACAGCACATGTGCCATAGGACACAATATAAGCTGTGACTAATAACAGGCACAAAATCATGTCTGAACAAATACAAACAATCCTAAAGTTAACTTTCCTTTCTAAACCATTTTTTTTGTGGGTATCAGAATACTAGTAGAACAGTATCAGCTACATTTGCGAAAAGGACTGTGAGTTTTTGCATTCATGATTTGGTTAACAGTATGCCTCTATTTTGGGTTTCAAATTATCACTCAGAACTATAAAGGACCTGTTTTGAATGTTTGGGGTTTTTCTTTTTTTTCTCGTTTGTTTTGTTTTTTAATCCCAATCCCTATTTACGAATATGCCCTTTTACTAGGAAACTCTCTCACAATTTTTAAATGAAAAACATAGATTTAAAGGATTCATTAGATCACTAGAAGGTGCAAATGTATGAGCATCGTGAAAACAGCAACAACAAAAAAATGATGTAAATGATATTCATCTGACGTTTGTTTTATGGGAAGAAAAAAAGACAATTTTTTAAAATGCAACAGGATAGGAACTGCTCAGGGACCAAGAACAATCTAGCATAAACTGAGAGATGCAGGGAGATGCAAGATCATAAAAAAAATAAATATATTGTATTTATATACTTCATAGTTGGAAGGTATCCCTATCCGTAGGAGGGAGGTTGGAACTAGGTGATCTTTAAGGTCCCTTTCAACACAAACCAGTCTGTGATTCTGTGATATTTAGTACTTCAGCTTCAGTGCAGACTGTTATTCCAGTTAAACCTCAGCTTTTTTTTTTTTTTTTTTTTAATCTGTTTTGCTCTTAGTATATACATCTTGGATGTTCTTCAGAGCAAGAAAATAAATTAATTATATAAGAACAATTTTGTTAAGTTGCAGGAAAAAATAATTTGGACTCATTCACTTCCATATCTGCCTTCATTTTATGCTTGGTAGAAACTTAATGTCACTGACAAAATTCACTTTGTTAATCTAACATATAACGCTTAAAAACATGCCATATAGATGTGATATTCTTTTCAGTGCTTTCTGAGCAGTCATGCTACAGATGTGGTTAATCCTCTCCCAAGGATGCAATCATGTTGACAAAACCACACTTTGTTTTCCCCAACTAAGTATCTCTGGAATTTCCTTGTCAAATACGTGCTAGATGGTAAATTCTTCTGGTCAGTGACAACTGCTTCGTACTGCACTGCCCTGAGGTCTGTCCTCCCTGCTTCCCACCCTGAGGGACCTGCCAACACGGTGCAGCTGACAAAAAGGGATATCCTGAATGTGATGGGTAGCCTGGTACCTTATCAGCCATGGCTGTGCCCACAGCTGAGGGCAGGCTGTAAGACTCATGTTACAATTTTGATAGGTTTCCACCTTTTCTTCCGATATTCTATACTTGGCCTAACAGCTTCTCATTACTCAAAGCTTTGAGTTGCATGGCTTTGTTTTGATACAGAAGGTATGCAGAGAAGGGGACTGATTTGAAAAATACATGTATGGAGAGATTCTATTCTCATAGAACCATTGGATATCCTGAGCTGGAAAGAACCCACAAGGATCATGGAAACCAACTCATGGGTACACCCAGAGCTTTGTCTGAGAGCTTTGTCGAAATAGTTCTTGAACTCCGGCAGCTTGGTGCTGTGACCACTGCCCTGCGGAGCCTGTCCCAGTGCCCGAGCACCCTCTGGGTGCAGACCCTTTCCCTAACCCCCAGCCTGACCCTCCCCTGTCCCAGCTCCATGCCGTTCCCTCGGGTCCTGTCGCTGTCCCCAGAGAGGAGAGCTCAGCGCCTGCCCCTCCGCTCCCCCCGTGAGGGAGCTGCAGGCTGCCATGAGGCCTCCCCTCAGCCTGCTCTACTCTGGGCTGAACAAACCCAGGGGCCTCAGCCGCTCCTCATGCGTCTTCCCCTCCAGACCCTTCACCATCTTTACAGCCCTCCTTTGGATGCTCTCTAACAGTTTTATGTCCTTCTAGCATTGTGGGGCCCAAAGTGCAAATAGTACTTGAGGTGAGGCCACACCAGCACAGAGCAGAGCGGGACAATCCCTTCCCTGGACTGGCTGGCAGTGCTGTGCCTGATGCACGCCAGGGTATGGTTGGTTCTCCTGGTTGCCAGAGGACACACTGCTGGCTCATATTCAACTTGACAACAGTTAGAATCCCCAGATCTCTTTATTTCAGAAAAGAGGATATTCTGTAGGACATTATTTATCCTTCAAAATATGAATGAAAGTAGAAAATGCTGATATCTTTCACAAAGTCTACTGGCTTGAAATTATATATATTTTTTTTTTCTGAAAATAATATTGATTTCTGAATTTCAAAATTACTTTTGAAATAAAAACTGATAATCTGTAACAAAATATCACTTAAAAATATCCTTACCTTTCTAAAGTGTCATTCCAAAATGTTGACATGACACATTTTGATGTGTAAAAGTACTTTCTCTAGTTTTCTGTTGAAAATGAACTATAGCAAAATAGATCTGATTTCAAAGATCTATTTTAGTTTAAATTTTAGTTTTTTTAAAAAGAAATTATGGTTCAGGTGCATAATTCTGTGTAAGACTTTGAATAGATCTAGTGAGTACAATGCCACTGAGCCTGGCATTGCTAATCTGTAGCTTCAAATGTAGCTGCATTCTAACCATACAGATCAATTACAACAACCTATAGGTTACCTCTTCTCCTTCTTCAATATGATAATCCTTCCTTTCATTTGGTCCTCCAACAAACATCACATTCAATTGATGTCGATGCCTAGAAAAGAAAAGTGACAATTTAAAGCTACCTCAATACATGGTGTCCCTTATTTCATGGATTTTTATTTTTATTTTTTACTTTTGTGATGCTTTGACTACAGTGAGGCAATGAAACAATAGCAAGTGACAAGTAGCAACAAGAATGAGAGAAAAGACCTAGATGCATCTTCCTGCTCTGCCACTGGCCTGCTGGATGACCTGAGGCCATCTACTTCCCTCCTGGTGTTTTGGTTCCTCTAGCTGTGAAAAAAGAACAAAGGTACTTACCAACAGTGGAAAGAGCTTTGAACTGCAAAGACAAAGAATGATATGTAAGAGACAGGAAAGACAGGAAAAATGCCCTCTCAATGATTAATTCAGGATAAAGGTAAATCTCCTTTTAAGCTTAATAAAGGTAAAATCATGCTTGGTTCCCAGGGGCAGAATTACTAGAGATTCTATTCTGATGGTAGGAATTATGAGCTAATTTCTCTTCTATTTATATCAGTTTTGCTGAGGTGGAACAACATTACAATGGTTTCTTTGTGGTTGTGGTTGATTCAGAAAAAAGAGATTCAGGTCCTTTATCTTAATTCTGTCCCTTGTAAGAGCCTCAGCGAGCTCTTTTCTCAGCTGTCACAAAGAATAGATAGAACTCCAATTATCTATCACTGCGCGTATCTTAATAAAGAGGTAAGGTAGCAGTTTTCTATTTCCTTTGTGTGGGGAAAAAAACACTATAAACCAGAATTGTTAACTGTGATTCAAAATTTATTCATAAGCTCTCTTTGACGTGTGAGCTGAAGGATGTTGACCTCTACTTTTCAATGAGGAAGTACTTGAGCTAACTGGAGATCCTAGTAATACAGAACCAGCAGGACTATGCTCCCCTACAATTCAGGAAAGAAATACATGCCTCTGTGTCAGCACTTCATAAGCCTTAATTGAGAGAAACTAAACTATTCTGAATTACTGAATGTATTTATTTGATCTGGTACTTATATCATACTTACTTTGAAGAGAAGATAAATTATAAAGAACACCACAGTACGAATTAGTAAAGCAGAAATAACTGTTGTGACACACCATTCCTTGATCAACTTAAAATCTAAAGAATTAAATTAGATTACAATACTTAAATTTACTATTCTCACTATAGGAACTTGTACGCATTACAGCTCCTGGCTTCATGCCAGTATCTTAAAATAAGGAACTGAAATCAGAACTGACTATCAGGCAGATTTAATACTTGTTTTCAAGGACATGCTGAAATACTTCTGTATTAATGAACCCTTCTACTAGAGAAGGGTAGGAAGACCAAAGCAGTAACAACATAGCTAATCATTCATGAAATAAATTCAAATCAGTCCTGAAGAATAAGAGAAACATGATCTATGTGCATCTTGTAGCCTACTTTAAAGATTAAATAATTTTTACAGAAACCCATTGTATTTGATTCAACTGATTGATTTTATTAGTTCAATAATTAAAAGGGAAGCTATTGCTCTCTAAACCATTGTTTCTTAACTTTTTGTTGAACTATTTGGCAAATCTAACATTAATTCTGGTACCCTATGGATTTGATTTTGCATAATAAACTGGCAACAATGGGTTAATTCTTGCTTTGATTAAGAATTATACAATGGTACTATCAAAAACTTCTAACTATCAAATACAAGTAGGAATTCAAAGAGGTTTGTTTGTCCACACTGCTAAATAAAGTTGTCAAGTTAATATAATTGCATTGAAATAAGACAAATCATAAGAAAGAAAAGCAGGTTCAGCTAAGACCGTCTGGGAGACAGTTAATGCAGTTTCAGTATCATAAAGGTTACAGTGGTGTGGAAATTACTTGATTGCATTATTTTTAGAATGAGCTGCTAATCAATGGTCTATTAAGTTTTACATACTCTTATATTTTTCTTCTTAATCACATAAAGAAAATGTGACCAGCAGGCAACCTTTTGAAAATGTCTCAAGACCACAAAGAATGAGATACTCCATGACTGTAATGAGGTCTCCTTACCTCCTTACAGTATCACATTCTGAACTCAAAGAAAAGCTTTAAAAGTGCCTTAGCAACCCTGTAAAAATCAGCTATCCCAAGCGTTCTGATTTTGCACTAATTGCTCCTTGAGGTTAAAAAGTATTTAAGCTTGCAAGACAGTGTAATTAAAATATATATAATTAAGTTGTAGCTCTTACATCACATTGTTTTCTTGACTCTGGTAAAACTCTAAGCAGATGATGATTCAGGAACTGAGGTTTTGTTTTGAAATGCCATACAGATACTTAAAACCTTTGATCATCACAATTGTATGGAACATAACTGAATGAAAGTCTGAAAGCTGTAACAAATTTAGAGATGGGAAGTCTTACTGATACACAGTAAGACCTATATTTTAACCTTTATTTCTCTTTTGAAACTTAGGATCTTAAGTTACTTTTATTTTTTTTAAGTGTTTGCCTTCTTGCAGTGTAGAAGGCAGTGAGAAGATTTCTTTATACATCTGCACTCAGCATATAAAGTATCAAAGCCTTTGAAAACAATCTTGGAAATCTATTAGTCACATCTTGGAAAATTGCCTAAAGCTTTTTTGGAAAATCCTGAAAAAATGTAGATATCACTAGGAGCAGGTGGTGAGAAACTCAGTATCTATATAGTACATGGCTTTTCTCTCCTCCTCCACAGGCTGAAGATTCAATGGAGAAATTTATTTTTTTATTTATTTTTTAATCTATGCAAACTTTATCATGAAAAAATGTTCTTTGTTTCACTCTAGCTTTTTACAGTGTTTATGGGGGAGATTCATCAACATCAAGTATTTAGGGATACGTGTAACTTTCTGACCTTTGATAGACCTCATATTCCAGAGTTACTTCAGAATTACACAGAGCTGCTGATAGGCTGTGCAGAGTAGTGCAGTAATAACAAAAAGGTTAATTTTACTGATGAAGAATGAAAAAATGAATATTTCACATACTCTAAAATACTAAAGCTTTACCACTGTCATTGGTAAGCTTCAGAAATAGCTATGCTTTTATGCTTCCTAAATCCATTCTCAAAATGAAAGAAATGAAAGCACTTGTAAAAAGACACTTTCTTCTCTTTCCCACTGTGAAACTATTGCAGTGACTCAAGTTTCATAATTTCTCATTTAGAACTGTAGATTCAACAGAGACATCTTGCTAAGGGTGTACCTCTTACCTTATTTTTGTCTTGCAACTATTACTTTGAAAAGCAAACTCTTGCAGCTTTGAATGGAAATTAGTATCGCTGCCACTGCTACAGTAGTGCCCAATCAGCTTTTGATTAGAGGTAGCAGTTCAGGGCAGGGGCAACAGGCACATTCTTTGCTATTGTAGTTGTTAAAATTCAAATGCAAGAAAAATAAATATAGAAGAGCAAGAACACCTGCTTTTTATGTTCTTCATAAAACTCAGTCTTCTATAATTTCTCGTACATTATCCTTTCTTATGAAAACCTTCATATAGAGGCAATGTGGGACTACATGTATTGTCCTCAAGTTCACTGATAAAAGAAATCCTTGGTAACACAACTAGAATGTGCCACACGTTGGACCACTTACACTGGAACTTGTTCATGGACTTTGACACTGGCAATATGCATACCGTAAACCTGCATAATACCCGCACTTTTTTCTTATATTAGCTGTATAATTATTCAGGATACAGTTCATAGCTCCAAGTTGTCAGTCAGTGCCCCGCAATGTTGCTTTTTCAGCCTCATGCTGTGTTCAGAGCATCCTGCCCTGCCCTGACAGCTCAGAAATGCCCTGGAAACCTGCTCTTTCAGCCCTGCTCCCCATTGATTCTCCTTATCTTCATGTGATATGCTCTGTCAGTTTTGATTGCTCCTGCAGATTCAGCTCCTCTGCAATACTGGAATGACCCTTAGCAGCTCTAGCAGCTGTTCCAGGTTGTAAGATGGCAGCATGAATCTATTTGCTAAATCTTACAGTCCATGGATGCAATGCCATCTCCTCAGATTTCTATGAGGTTATTGTCAAAGGGCATGACACAAAGACCCTTAGCAGCCTAATTGCCTACAAGAGACTTTGAATTGGGGCAGACATATTGAAACTGGTCTTCACAGCTTCTGCAGAGTTACCACAAAAAGATTTCAGTTAGTTCCTGTCCTTCAAAACTGCGGTATGACTGGCTGTAGCCTGAGAGGAACTACGGTTCCTTACTGGTCTTTACCATGTATGCATTTTAGCAGTTTCCTCTGGTAGCTAAGAATATTTATATATCTAAGAACAACATTTAAAACAAACAAACAAAAAAAACCACCTTCATTTACTCACATAAGTTTATTGCACACAGGAGGTAAAAAGGCTGCCTTGTTTTCTTCTATCCATTTTCTGACATTTACCAGAAGCTCCATGGTCCACCAGCTATGAAACTTCTGAGGAAGATGAAGTTTGCATAGTGCTTGCTCTGTGAGCAAGCTACGTCTGACTCCATCCCCCCAGTTCAGGGATTGGTTGGTAGAAGAGGTGTCTTCAGGATGAAGTGTCAAAGGGGACAGGTCCATCAGCCAAAGGTCACTTTGCAAAGAGTGCTCCTGCTCCAGCAGCTTAGCTAATAATTGACCAGTGTTTTTTAAAAAAATTATTTTCATTTGAGACTCCTACTGCCCACAGGAGGTTGCTTCCTTCTCTTTACCGCATCAGCTGCAGTAAAGAAACTTTCTCTGTACAGAAACTGCCTTGCTACATACAGTTATGAAAACTTGGGCACTTAATAGAAACATCAGGTTTCAAAGCTAAATGCAGCTTGAGAGCCATTGCTCAAAGTTTAACTACATGTATACAATATAGATAAAATGTATTTTTATACATACTTAAATATCTACATGTTTCGGGCATGATAATAGAGTCCTATTTCCCTTTCCCACCTTTCTTCAACCTTGTTAGACTGAATGATTGAGGTTGTGATTGAAAATACTGGGAACTACTTCTGCCAAATAACAAAAATAAAAATGTCTCCTGCATTTGTAAGACCAAAAGCAGTTGTTCATAAATTATCTTTTTTAATTTGTCTCAGTCTTTGCCAGGATTGTGGCAGGCCTTGTTGGAGAGCTGAATGTGGTTCTGTGATGCCCTTTGGGAAAATGCAGCACACTGTCATCAAATTACCAGGCAAAGAAATGGAGAATTATCAGGCATTCCTGGTCCGTATTAGGCTTTATTCCTTCACTGGTGTCTTTTCCATGTCTATGGAGTTCCTAATAAAATTGATCACTGCTTCCCCCTCCTCCTTCACTTCTAATAACCAAATCTATAAACACTTCTTTTCAAACTTGGACTACACGATATGGGTGGCTGACAAAAAAAAAAAAAGTCATTACAAAATGTCAGAGCTTTTCAGTTGCTCTTGATATAGCTTAGTCTTCTGACTACATCTATACTGTGCTTAGTGTGTCAGTGTGCATGGGTATAGGAGTATCATATGATTTGTTTAGAAGTGAGCTGTATAGCTGCCGTGACTTGTGCATATGGGCTGTGCAGCTTCTGGATTGATGAGTCAGGATGCTGGAATGATATAAACTCGGGAGTTCTTTAGCTTGTGCCATTATAACTTTCCTATGGGTGAAAAAAAGAAAAGTGATAGAATGTGAGTTGAAACTAATATTGGACTCTTCTATCAGTAAGTGTGAGGGTGACTCTGCTTTACTTTCATCTCTACGACTTCTCTGCAATTTAATTTAAACTCCTTACATAATTGATCCAAAAAACTCCATTCATTTTGGGATACAAAAATCCACATGGGGATTACAGTTCTGCTATATTTATACAGTCATAATGGTATTGGCAATACTTTTATCTGATATAAGCCCAGAGTATGTATTATTTCACTCAATTACAAATAATAATAAAAAATGTAACATTATTTATTTAGCACATTAAATTTCTACCATCAGAATGACTGTGGTGAGACATCACTGTGTAGCAAAGTCATTAGGCCTGGTTTTGGACCTACAGACAGGAACATTTTGGTGCTTTTTGCACTGTAGGCTGATGGCATGCTATTTAGATATGAAGGAAAGCAATCTTCCATTTAAAATGCTTTCACTGAGAGGATTGTGACCCAGCCAGAACTGAAGACTCTCTTAATGACAATGGTTTTGTAAAGCTTTACCTCATTGTTAGTAACAGGTATTGAAGAGCAGGACTCCATTTGTCAGGCCTAAAAACCAAGAGGTTGTATAGATTCACAGCAGGGAAAAAAAAAATAAAAAAAAAAAGGTCCTGGACTTGATAGAGCTGATATTAATGTACAAGTTTTAACTGCAGGGTTATTCTGTCTCAAACCCCTACTCTCATCACTAGTCTCTGCTCTTTTCCCCGCTAGGTAGAATACAAGGTGCTATTACCTGCAGAGAAAACTATCTCAGTCACAGGCTGATAAATCCATTTTTACGGCTACAGTGAGGTGGGGGGGGGGGGGGGGGGGGCGGGAAGGGAAAAAAATATAGCTAGAACTACTCAGGGAGGGCACCAATGAAGTTCACTTATAAAATCCACCATTACCAGGAATCTGCGGTTATGGTCACAGGAGCAGTACTTTCCGCAACCCTCGGAAATCAGTGCATTTTGAAAAAAGCAGTTAATGGGCTCTCCATGTGTGCAGCAGGTATAAGGGAACATTGCTTCTTTTGAGGAGGGATAAGAAATGGTCTGTGCAGCCTGGAAGTAGTGGGCCATGAAACCCTGTTTCTGTGAAGTAAGTGTATTGGAGAGGCAAAGAAAAGAGCAAGTGTTGCAGGCTCTGTGAGTTTCAGGTAAGTATGGACACTTCGTGACCTGACTGGGGACCTGGATTTTTCTGGCTAGTCCACTTTGCTGTGGCTCTTCACATCCATCAAAGTCTGTTCCAGAAACTCAGGTTTCTACATCTGCTTTCGGCTCAGATCCTTCCCTCAGGTAGCGAAGGCAAACGCTCTCGACTCGTCAGCTTTTGCTGACAGAGTTATGCAAGACTACTGAAGCACAAAACTGTTCCTCAAAAATAAGCCATCTTTTACATTGTGGGTGCAGGAAAAAGCGTTAGTGAAAAAAACAAACAAACAAACAAACACCTGAACATGCTTTCTTTTTTTTTTTTTTTAATCAATTCTGTTCTTTCTCTGCTATAAAAGATTCTTTGAGAACAAACAAATATATATATATACCCTTTATTAAAATGAAAACATTATATAATTATTTATAGTTTTTAAATCCCACGTAGTTGTTGGAAATAAAATCAAATTGTTAACAAACCTACTACATGAGTACAGTTATGTTCCCACCTACAAACTAACACATGGCCAATTTTTTACTATTTGATTTATAAACATGGTATCAAGGGCCTCAGTATTGGTGGGGGCACATGCAGGAAACAAGTGGATCACATAGCACAATAGAAGAACTAAACATCCCACAAAATTTACTAGGATCTTTACTATTGCTGACACTATTACTTTTATGGGCTGATTGAAATACAACAGCAGTGATTATCATCCATATGTAAATAACAAAAGCAAAAACACTGGGTCCTCCTCTTGCCTGAGTCTAAGGCTGAAGCTGCAATAAAGAACTCATCATAGCTTCAGCTTTGATTCTTCCTGACAATTTTTTATTCTCTGAAAGGACACCTGTTTGGATGAAATTGTACAAAGATTGATGCAAACGTAATATAGTATATTTTATTTGCTGGTGTAATGATGCACTGGTAAGGGTAACAAGGTAGCTGCAGTTTTCTGGTATGGGAACTAAATCTATGTGATAAAATAAAACTGCTCTAAGAAATGAACTGACGGCAATTTTCTTCTCTCCACCATCATCTTCATCAACAGCCAGATACAGCAATTGCACGATACTTCACCTGTCAGTGGTGTATACTACTGAAACATATTCCAAAATAATTCCAAATTGCCCACAGTAATAGCACCAGCAGCAGAACAGCTGTCTTGACAAGCGAGAAGCATCCTGTCTCCGTCCAGAAGTTTCCAAATGTTTCTGCTCAGTTATGAATAGGAGGTAGGAGGAGGAGGTAATGAACTCACGTTGGAGGTCGCTGCTATCTGCTTGAAACTGGCTGAGTGCCCGTCCCCTGCTGCCAGGCCATAAATATTTCAGTTTAGAGGCCATGGAAGTCCAGGCACTGTGGGGCACTGTACAATCATCCACTCGGTAATGACAGGTCCAGAGCTTGTTACCTTGCCCATGCTTCGGAGATGTAGATAGCAGAATGCTTTCTGGTAATTGTGCCTGTAACCCAGCAGAGCTGTCTTGGTTCTAGGAACATAAATAGGGTGACAGCTTAATGATCTCAGGAAAAATAGAAAGGGTATGTCCTTGTGTCAACTGCAACAGGACTGGAGCATTAAATAGGGTTTAAATGCCACACAGAGATAGTGGAATTGACTGAGCTGACTGCACAGTTCACATTGGCAGTGTACCTTATCAACAGACACGCACGTATGGCTGTGTTTTTTCCTAATAACTGTTTCTCAGCAAGTCGTACACCATACGCATACACTGTGCTTTGTTCTACGCATCAGCACCGGCTGTCTTTTGGCAATGGTCGCTGACAATTCAGCGTTTTCGGAGCAGGCCACCTGCCCGGGGCCCTCCCGGCGGACGGGCCGAGCTCTCCCCGCCGCCAGCGGCCGGCGGGCCCGCAGGGGGCAGAAGGCCTCATCCCGGGCTCCGCCGCCGCTCCCCGCCCTCCCGCACCTCACGGCGCCGCCCTCCCGGGACGGTCGCCTCCTGCCCGGCCGTGCCGGCCCCCTCCCCGCGCCGCCGGGAACGGCGAGGGCCCGGCGGCGGCCGGGGGTCGGGGCGCGGCGGGGCCATTCCGCGTCGCGGGCGGGCGGCCCGGCGCCATTTCCCGGCCGGCGCCCGGCGAGTGGTTGATAAAGCGTTCGGGAGGAGTTGGTGTCAGGGCTCCAGTGGCGCAATCGGTTAGCGCGCGGTACTTATACAGCAGTACTAAAGCCGAGCAATGCCGAGGTTGTGAGTTCGAGCCTCACCTGGAGCACAGAGCTTTTTTGGGAGGGGGAAGGCGGATTTTTTGGGGAGCGCTCGGCGGGAAGAGGAGAAACGCGAAAAGCTCACGGAAAAATTATGCGTGGGCCCGCACGCGTGCACCCTGCAGGGCCGGGGAGGTGCTGGAGCACGGCCGAGGGGCGGCTGCGTGCGGCTGAGCGGGCTGCTGGTGGTCGGGAAGGCAGGCGGGCAGCGCCTGCTGGAGGCCGGGCTTTAAAAGATGCATCTGCAAGCATGGAAACACGCTGGGGTCTGCGCTGTTTAGCGTGGCCTTTCGGTGCGGAATAGTTATCGCTTTCCTTGTAACAGCTGCATGCGTCGCCCTGCGGGAAATAAAAGCTTATGTTATTGGAGGTTACTTAATGCAGGGTAAATACAGACTCACCAGCAGCCTCACTGCAACTGAAGAGTAACAAAATATCCTTTACTTTAGATATTCATTGTAACTGCTCACTGCCACAGTAATCTTTTAGGAATGTGTAGTCCAGACAAGGAAGGAGAAGAATTCAAATAATTTTACTTTCAGAATTGAGGAGGTGGCAGGGCCATAGAAAAAGGCAATTTCTAGAAAGAGAAAGTTGAGGGACACTGCCCAGTAGGTTTAGGTCCAGATCTTGTAATCATGCACGTTAACATCTAATCTACTATTGCAGCAGTGCAGTTTATACTCAAAAGCTCTGCGAGAGCCTCAGGATCATGCAGCCAGAGACATCACCATTGCCTGATCAGCCCATTAATGTGTGTGCACCAGGGGTTAGCTCCATATCGTACCACTTCCAATTACCACACCTTCCCTATTCAAGTGACCACCTTGTCCCCTCAGAACTTTGCAGGAACTTTGCCACTGATTTCAGTGACAGCACGCTCATGCCTGAACCACACACCACATTAATATAATAAGGTCTAAATAAACAGAGATCTGTACTATATCAAAGTGTAAATGCAATTCATCCTTTCTTTACTGGGAGTTTCACATTTTTTCTGTCATACATGAGCACCATGTCAAAATGCTGGGGAATGAAGACAACACGGAGGAACATTTGCAGAGGTATTAGAAACTGTAAAAAATGAAAATACTGTTTTTCTGTAACTGGAAAAAAAATAGCAGAAGGCCTATTGATTGCAATTGCAGAGGGTCTCCATTTCCCAGGTTAGACCCACTTTTTTGAGAAACTGGGGGAAACACTGCTTCCTTCTCTCACCTTCCTGCTTGTCTTCATGCTTTCAGGAACACTATAGCTCCTGCTCTCCATGGCTGAAGAAAAACATTGTGTTCAAAATCGGGGTTTGGTTTTGGTTTGCTGGGGTGATTGTGCAATTTTTGCCAAATATGAGGAGCACAAAACAGATGCTGTTTGGTGCATGCATAGCAGTGATCCAGCTTGTATGCAACTTGCTTCTGCCGCACCAGAGAGCAGCAGGACAAGCGGCTGGAGTTGGCACAGTGCTGCAGCCTCCTTCACAAGGCCTTCCTCATCTGCTCCATCCTACCTGGTTCTTTGTCTCCAAAGCAATTTTTGTCTGAAAAAAAAAGAAGACAACTAATGGTGAATTTACTAGGCTAACACAATGAAAGAATGTTATTTATTTGTGTGCAGTGGCTGTTTATGAAATAAAGTGAACAGAACTGCTACAAAAGCATGAGCGTATCCTGAGGTGTGGTGGCTCATTATGGCCTGACCATGGGCACCTGGGCTGGGGGTGTTGCTAGGCTCTTCTCCTGCCCCATTGTGAGGGGTCTTGCAGGGCTTGTGGAAGAAGGGTGCTATTTTGGAACAGGGGTTGGTGAGTTTGTGCTTTCTTTGTTTACTTGGGGGGTCTGCTGGCTTGTTTGCTGTAATTTGCCTTGTTCTTTGCTGCAGGGAGGATGTGAGGCTGGGGCTGGAGGCCTGTCCCTGCTGGAAAAACTGTGGTGCTGATAGGGTGAGGACCAGGGTGCCTCTGGTTGTCATTCATGTTTATAACTTTTTCCTGAAGAGTAAGTGTCTTATGGGCTTATGAGAGGAAAGTGTATGCTATTGTTTACATGAGGTGTGGTTTTTTTTTGGGCTTCTTGGTCCTGAATTATTGGATAGTGCTTTAATTCTAGTTGATAGTGGCCTGTACCTGTAAGCACATATATACTTATGTATGTATGTGTAAAGATATCTTTATACCGTTACTGTAAAGCTCCCAGTGTTTGCGTGTGATCGGTATCTTCTTTTTTTTAAAGCTTGCTTACCTGTACCTCATTTTCTGTTTGAAAGCAAATGACCAGACATCATCTATCTTCCTCTGAGCCACTGCTCTATGTCACTGTCCTCAAAGGGTGACATTGGCTTGGCCAGGGCTGTGAGCTGCTGGGGACTTGGGCAGTCCATGGGTGTTGCTGAAGGCTTCCTCAGGAGGATTTCCCCATGTAGGCACTTTAATTACTCTGTGCTCTTCTGTTTACCTCAGGATGTACATCTTGTAGCCTATACCATATACACACACACACACATATATATATATATATATATATCTTATTTCTCTTTTTATGTGTCTGGTGTGAATGTCGTGCTTGTGGGTCTGTAACTATCCAGCTCCTCTGAAATCCTTTGAGGATCCCTCTTTTTAAACTTATTCCTGCTACTTATTCAATTTCAGATATGGACTGTAGTTGCTCTGCAGTGTTTTTCTGGTTACTTTGTGTTCCCGCTGAATTAGAACTCGCTTTATAGATACATAGAGAAAATTTATGTACCTGTTGCTTATTACTTGGGGAAGGATTTACAAATATCAGGCTATTGAGTGGTTTTGGAGAATAAATAATAATCAGCTGGGGAGCAGGCTTGAAGAGTTTGCATGATACTTCTCACATGGGGAGTCCCACTGGAGTGAGAGATACAGGATGTAGAAGGAAAGGCAGGGTTATTGCACAGGCTTACTCAATGCTATCCCTTCCTGACGCTTATTTTTAAAAGTGGCAACTTCTTTTTCTCAGGTGTTTTTCTAGTTCTGAGCTTTGTGAGGCTCTGAAGTGTTTGCATAACATGGTTTATTTAAACGTATTGGCCTTGAACTTTGCACAGTGTGGGGTTTTGTATATTGTAACAAATGTCTGTAAAAGTTTATGGTAAAGACCTGGTACACTTAGTTACTTTGAAACTAAAATAATAAATGTTTTAGTCAACTTAAAAATGCGTGTATGTGTTAAACAGCAAATAGGAGTACGTTTTTCTTGTCTTCCGATAGATGGCACTGTGATCCCACAAAGTGAAAAAGAAAACCAAAGCAAAGCATTCCCAGACATCCTAAAAATAGAACTCCCTTCCCAAATGGTTCGTTGTGCGCAGCAGAGAACAATAGGCAAAAATTCCAAGGGTTGCTTAGAAAACGCAGTCAACTAGAGGTGTAGATACTTCGTGTGTGTGTGTAGTGGTGTTTTTTGTCCTTTTTTCTTGTTTTCATGTTGTGTGTAACATCTTGAGGACCTTTCTGAAATTAAAAATCTATTGATCAGTTGTGTTTGGAGCAGCAGAGCTGGATGAGATGTGTCATGTGTTTTAAAGTCCGTATGAATTCACTACTGTTTCAAAGTGCCAACAAAGCAGGCCCAGCTTAGATTCTCTTAAACTTCTTCAAGAAGAGCTGCTGTTGCTTGAGGCTTTCATGCAGTATTGCCTGAAGTCCAGGCAGCTGCTTCCCATCGAGGCTGCCCATGCTGTGGAGGTATTAGACTAGGATACAACAGCTGGGGGGAGAGGAACAAAGTGCAGATGCTTGTAAACTAAAGGAAAGAACTTGTTTAACCCAAATATTAAGATGTGGAGGAGCAGAATGATAAGGAAGGATACATGTGTCCAATGGTGACGTGAAAGCTTCCTTGGTGAAAAGAATGGCTGAAAGATGAAGGGGGTCCTTGGGCTTATATAGGTTGACAGAAGGAAGAGAAATAAGGGAAAACTAGATAGAATTAATCTCTTGCTCTCTGAAACCCAGGAAGTGGGTGTTATAAGGAGGGAATGAGCAAAGGAGAGGGGGAATAATAAAAAAAAAAAAAAAAAAAAAAAAGAGGAGGGAACAGGGAGCTGGTAAAAGAACATAGATGAGGAAGCTTTTTTTTTTTTTTTTTTTTTTTTTTTAAATATAACTAGACAATCCACATATGAACATGCTGTGTAGGGCAATGAAAAACAAATGAATAAGTGTGAGCCAAGCATGCTAGTCTAAGATAAAGCTCCTATAGAGAGCAATTTGGCCTGCCCATTTTGTCCGAGCAGAGTGATCTCAAAATGTTTTTCTTCTCTGTGTGTTCTGAGTGGTTACTTCAGTGTGCCAATGTAAGGGACCCCTCGGCCTCTCTCGGGATTAGAGCTGGTGTTGGGAGGGCTGGAGAGCTCAGCTTTCTGGTTTGGAAAAGGAAGGAAGTGGACAATCAGCACTGGTGTTTGTGCCTGTGTAATTTTCTTGCTTATGCTGAGTTTTCTGTGTAAGGTTCTTCTTTTAAAGTGGAAAAAGTCTCCTGGTTTCTTCAAATAGTTTTGGTGCAGCCTAAATATTTGAAACCTTGGAAAAGGCTCAAAACACAGTAAGAAAAATTAAACCAGATCCAGAGAGAGAACAAGCTGGGGAAGTGGCTGAAATGGCAGGGGATAGTTTGTGAGTCTGTAATTAAAAATGCTGGCGAAGGCATGCTCCCTTGAAGGAGGGAACTGAGCCTGTACTGCCTGCTTTGTATGAGGTCTTTGTTTATTGGCAGACAATTTAGGATATTCCTAAGAAATACATCTAAAATTTTTAGCATGGAGTTAGACAGAGATTGAGGAGGGAAGTAATGACTTCTAAAGGCTTATCTTCTGGACAAAAACAAAAAGAATAAAATACCAGAGGCATTGTGCTGCAGATCATGTAGGTATATGTAACTTGGAGAGTTAGCTGTTTTTTGTGGAGAGAGGCTGTCAAACTGGTCACAAACATGAAAAACTAAAAGTATTTTCAAGGAAGAGAATAATAAAACTGAGTCAATTGACTTCATTGCTTGCATTTGCTTTCTGTATATCCTGGCTCTTGGAATAAGGATTAGAGTTGGTTAACTACAATGCTTGATTTTTAAGTACTGTTTACACACAGTTTGATAAAAGCACATCCTTCTTTAAATACTTTCTTTAAGGAGAGGCATACCAGGCTTGTTCCGGCAAGGATAAAGCCTGGTTAACATTAAAAAGCTCTCAGTAATGCAACTTCATATAGCTTTGCCCATGAACTGCATCCTGCGAAGTGCATCTACAGCTTTTGTTTACACTTGTATGGCATTGCACCAAGCTGAAAGCATTTTCCAAGTGAAAATATGAGCCCTTGTTTAGGGTTCAGGGAGCTTTGCACCAAAGTGGTGCTGGGTTCAAGGGCTCTTTCATCTGAGGGTAGTGCCTCCTTGCTCAGTGCCCAGGCCCAAGGCTGGGGTCTTGCCTCTTCTTCCCATCATAGGGGGCTCAGCTTCAGCAGGAGAGGGGCACCCACTGGGGGAAAGCTTTCATCACCAGAGTCATCGACAGGGTTTTTTAGATTCTTACAGCACTTGGCCAAATCTTCAAGGCCACTCAGGGCATGCCCATGTGATGCTGATATTTTTCTGCTTCTAAACATCTAATGTTGCAAATGCAAAATCTTTGAAATGTTCTTGCCTGAGTGGTTGCTCTGGGGCTTGAAAAATCAGTATTTGTAACTCCTACTTTCTTTCCGTTGTTTCTTGTCCCTGTATGTTAGGCTCAGCATTGGTACTCCTTTTTCCAGGCATGTCATTAACTACCTCTAAAGAATGCTGTCCTGTCTGAGAGCTGTGTGGCTGCCCAGTACTGCAGAGCTCACTTGCTGGGGCTTGTGGCTGCTCTGAGGCAAGTGTGAAACTGATGGCTTGCACACAGCTGTGTGTGCAAATTGGCTGTGTGTGGTGGTATGGGTGGCTTCACTTTTCAAGAATGTAAAGCTCAAAAGTTTTGTGAGATGTCAGATATAAAAATCCTCTTAAATGGTGTTTGGACACCTCAGCATTCTCCTGCGGTTTTCTGAATGCACTCTATCTGTAGCCTGTCATCTAAATGCCTCCAAAAGTGAAGATAAAACTGTCAAGGAATGGAGATTGGTGACTGTTTTTGAGATGTAGTATTAAAGAAACAGATACATTTTCACTATGTCAGTGAACTTGCCTCATGCTGTATAAGAGGATAAATTTTGGCCCTAAGTAATGGGAAGCTTATGTCTGGCTGCAAGGAAACCAGGAATTTCATGGGGCTTTCAAGTATGACCCACTGCATTATTCAGTATGTGTGATTTTTGGCATGATGGAGCAGTAAATACTGGTTGAAAACAGAAGCAGAAATTATAGGGTAAATAATTCTGGCCAAAGAGAGGCCTCTGCTTATGCATGTGTAGTAAAGAAAATGGAAGCAGAACCACAAAATAAAATTGCTGTGAAGAAGATCAGCAGTTTGGAACATCTGAGTTTACCGTTTGCTGCTAAAACTGAGTATGATCCTCTGAGGTGACACCTGAAATCAGGAGGGTGCAATCACCTTCTCTGAGTGCAGGCTGACCAGTACATCACGTGAAGACTGCTGCACTTTGCAGGCATCATTTGAGGGGGGACTTCCTGTGCTGCAGCTACTGGGTTGGAGGGTATAGTGCTCCTTTGGTAGATGATCTAACAAATGTCTGTGATCTGACTTCTAAAAATCTTCATATCTATGGAAAGAGATGGCCATTGGGCTAGATACATTACACTCTGTACGAAGAGAACGTCTTTATGCTAAATGTTTTTCTCATCT